ACTGTACCGTTCAAAACGACAGAAAGTCGTTTTTAGACTTGTTAACGAAGAAGAGTCAGGTAATGAAAAGAATGTAAGAGATCCTGGTCGCCATAGACGGCAACGTGTTGGAGAGACACGTCAGAAGGAGCGAAATGACGAGTTTCAGGGACTCTAAAAGCACACGAACATGAACAGATTGTGCCGATTGAAAATATAGCAATGGTGTCACCAATCGACGCCGTACCCATCCATCTCGCCGTCAATCTCTTTCCAGCCCTCCGTCTCGCTGTCCCAATCGTCGTCGCCTTCCGCCTCGCTTCCCGCCTCCTCTTCTCCATCGCCATTGTCCAGCTCATCCAATCCCTTTCCTACTCTCCTCTTCTCCCCAAGCAGCCGACGGACGCGCTCCTCGCGTTCACGCTCCCGCTTCTCGTACGTCCCCTTGACTGGGCTCCGCAGGCTGAGCAGCTCGACCAGCTCTTCCGGCACCATGCTCTGGCCATCATCCTGCTGCTCAGCCTCATCCTCATCCTCGTCATCCGTATCCTTGGCTAGAAGGTTCCGCTTGTCGCGGTAAAAGAGCGAGCCCTGGCCTGAAGTACCAGCGAGGTCGTCGTCGGCTTCCCCAGCGCCACCGTAAGCCCTCCTCGGGCGCACGACAACCTTCTCCCTCCTCGCGGCAAGCCCATCGTCATCCTCTGGTTCAGCTTCCGAGTCGACGTCGAGTACAAAGGCCCCTCGTTCTTCCCGACGCTTGACAGACGCGAGCGTCTCGTTGCCGTCCTCGTCGACCTCCATCTCGTCCAAGTCGTCCTCGACGTGCGTAAACTTTCGCTTCTTGCGTGCCTTCGGGGCGGGCTTGATCTCCTTCTCGTTGATGGCCGTGGTGCGAGCCTTTGTGACCTTGTTGCCGTTCCGCCTGCCGACTTGGGTCCGCTCGTTGTCGACCACGTCATCGTCCTCCGAAAACTCGCCCTTCCGACTTTTCTTCTGGCCACCAGCTCCGTTCTCGCGAGCTCTCCCCGTAACACCTTCCGGCCCCTTCACCGGCTTCTCCTGACGTCCTTTCTCCTTTGCGAAGTTTTTGGTATTCGCGACGGGTTTGGGTGTGAACTCGGCGGCAAAGATCTGCTTGGTCGTCGCGGCGGTCGGGGGTTGGGGAGGTGATGGTTGGGAGGATTGGAGGAGTTTGGAGGTAAAGGACGAGACGGAAGTTGAGATGAGGGGTTTGAACTTTTTCGAGGTGGAGGAGGCCTTCACGGGGGACGGTCCCAGGACCTCGTCGTCGTCGTCGTCGTCGTCGTCGGGGAGTGCGCCATTCGCGAGTGTGGGAGGGTCGAGAAGGGAGGTAGAGGATTGGGAGGTCGAGAAGGGATTGTCGTTGCCGTTGCTGCTGCTGGATAGCGTGGAGAGTGTCCGACGGAACGAGCGCGGGGGGAGGGGAGGAGCTGGCGCGCCAAAGAGCGACTCCCACGGGGCGGCTTTCGAAACGGAGGACGTCGACGAGCTGGCGACGGATCTTGCTGAGCTGGGTTTGGTCTTCTTGTCTCTTGACGAACCGGGAAACGGCGCTGGGTCAACGTCCATGGCGTCGTCGCTCGCGAACAGCCTGCGGCCAAAGCCGGCTGTCGCGCTGGATTTCGCCGGGCTCTTCTTGCTCGGGCTGCCGAGTTTGAACGGGTTGTACTTTTCGGGGCTGCCGACGACGCGGAGGTCGACGCCGGTGCCGAGGCCGGGCTGGGAGGGCTTCTTGTTGGGGCTGCCGCCGAACGAATGGGCGGCGACAAGCGCGCGAAGCTTGGACGGCGAGTTGGCGACGACGTACGTCGACGTCGACGGGTTGGGCTGGGCTGTCGATGTCGACGCCGAGGGGTGGGCCGTCGAGCGTTTCGGTTTGGGCTTGGTGGGCGTCTTGAAGATGGCGTCCTCGTGAGCTGCTGGCGGTGGAGGAGCGGCGTTCGCACGCGTCGACGAAGTGGTTGCCGTCTTTGCCTTGTTGTACTCCTTGTACTTGTCAGCTGTCGACACCAAAGCGCAAGTGTCAGCCTGGCCGTGCTCCTGCGCCCTCCCCTCCTGCGACCCCTGCTCGACGTCCCGCCGCAGCGAAGAGAGACTGACCAATGGCGGGCTCCTGTTTAATGTCCTGTTTGGTAGGATCCCTGCCGTGTGCTGCTCTGAACTGCGCCTCCCACGCCTTAAGCTCCGCCTTGAGCGACGCCGGCGGACTCATCGCGCGAGGTGTTCCTGAGGCGACGCGTCGACGCGCGCGAGAGAATCGACTCGCTTCGGGTTGGCGGGAGGGGACGTGGCGATGGCGGCGCGGGAGGAGGGTGCTCGTAGCTTAGAGGATGGCTGGTCGTCGTCGTCGTCGTCGTCGCGAGCTGAATGGGCGGAGGCAGACGGCGACCACGCGATTTGGGCGATGGATGCCCGCGCGCCGGCAAGTCCGCCCTGTGCCCCGCACTGCACCTCTGGCTCTCTTCTTGCTGCATTATTCGCACCGTTTCTTCCTTTCTCGCACTACTCTGCACCAGTGACGATCTAGATGGCATCGACTGAGCCCTCGTTCGTCGTCATCTCTGGCGGGACAGGTTGCAATGCCATCGTCGGCGCTTTCTCTGGCGCACGCACTTCTTTCATCATCGTGCGTTTGTCTCTCTCTTTACTACCATCTATTTTCGTGGACCGTTGGGTCAGAAAATAGTGCAGCTGAGACTGGGCACTCGCCTTGATTGCAGCCTATCAGCGACGACGGCGGCTCGTCGTCTGAAGTACAGCGCGTCCTCGGCGGGCCCTCGATTGGAGACATCCGATCTCGACTCGTGCGACTCATCCCAGAGTCGCCAGATGGCACTCCTCTCGCCGCGATCCGCACCTTGCTCGAGTTTCGGCTCGATCACCGTCGCACTGAGCGCGAGATCAAGGCAGAGTGGCACGCGATCGTCGAGGGCAAGCATCGTCTCTGGAAGGTGTGCACTTCTTCGGGAGTCTAGGGCTTACATGTGCTTCAGAGCTGACCTGTTGTCGTGTGTGCGACAGGGGATTCCGAGCGACCGCAAGGAGTGCATCAGGTGTGCCGCCGTTCTCTGCTTGGGCACGCGACTGCCAGGCTGACTTGAGCACCCATCCAGAGCGTTCCTTGTACACGTAGAGGGCGCCATTTTGAAGAAAGCGCAACGCGTTTGTCGTTCTCTCGCTCGATCTCATGCACCGCCCGGCGGAGCTGACGCCACTGTAAACCAACCACACGACAGGGCTTCTCCTACAAGCGAGCGTCAGTCGGCAATCTCTTCTTGACGGGAGCATCCATGTTCTTAGGATCAGTGAGTGGGATTTTCTTCTTGCCCTTGACGGCGAGTTGGGTGGGTAGGTTGGGGTCACGCTGACCGTGTTACTCCGCGCTCGTCACGGCGAACAGATCCCCTCCGCCATCTTCCTCTTTGCCTCCATCACGGAGATTCCTCACGAGTTGTGCCGCGTCATTCCCGTCATCAACACCTCCTCCACCGCCACCATCGCTGCCGAGCTCGAAAACGGCGACATTATCGTCGGCCAGTCGGAAATCTCGCACCCCTCGCCGACAAGACCTCAACTCCACGTCGACCCTCGCTCACCGACGCCCCTCCCTCCTCCTTCGCCATACGCCGCCCCAAAATCCCTTACCCCTGTTCCCTCCCTCTCGTCGCTGCGACCTCCTCTCCCACCATCGCCGTCGTTTCTCTCGCGAGCGGCTACGCCTTCGCTGTTTGAAGGACCCATCCTCGGCGACGAGGACGACGAAGAGGGCTACGCCTCGTCAAACTCGGAAAAGGAGGATCGAAACGGAAACGTTGTGTTCGAGAAGGATGGCGTCGCGGAGCTTCCAAGTCGGATAAAACGGATCTTTTACCTCAACGCGTACGGCAGCGAGATCTATCCTCGCGCGAATCCTCTCTTTTTGGAAAGTCTTTCAAACTCCACGTGGTAAATCCTCTCTCGCTTGCTTTTTTCAAAACATTTCTAGAGCTGCTGGTTGACTTAGCGTCGGGGTTCTGTTGCTGAACAGCCTCGTCTACTCGATCGGCTCGCTCTACACCTCACTGCTCCCCTGCCTTTCTCTTCGCGGCGTCGCCCGCGCCATCGCCAGTTCCCCAACTCTCAAATACAAGATTCTGCTTCTTAATTCGACTACGGACCGCGAGACCCCGGCTTACACGGCGAGGGATTTTGTTTTGGCGATCAAGGAGGGGCTGTGTGGTGGGTTTGGTGAGGAGCCGGTGCCGGTGTCGGTGCTCGAGAGGGCGCCGGATAGGGTGATAGATTTTGTGTGAGTTCCTCAATTCTTTCAGGTCTTTTGGGCGTCAAAGAGAGAGCAACTGACCTTGCGCACGGTTCTTAGGACACACGTGGTCTACATCCCTAACGCGGAGGTCACTGCGGACGTTGACGAGTTGCGGGTGCGTCCGCTGTGGACTTTTTTTTAACAAGAGGTTCAGGCAACTGACTGCTCTTCTGTAGGAATGGGGAGTTGTTTGCGTCCCGGCGCGTACGTCCGGTATGATGTTTGAGGAGGACGCAGTCAAGGACGCGTTTGCGAGGATCTGGGCTGGAGAAGTGTCGTCTGGTATTTAGACTGTTAGGATTGGTCGATGAATATAAGTGTGTTGTAGCTTGGAGCTTGCTAGGGCAATGCGCTGCTGACGAGAGCGATGACCGACTCGGGCCGGTGACGACTGGCACAGGCGGAGTAAAATTTCAGTGTGAGATCAAAAGCCCGTCTGCAAGGACAATGTACAGAGCAAATGAATCTATATACAAGCTTGCTAGGAACTCTGTGCGCCGCACGGGCTGTTGGAAAAGCTGGCCGCACGGGTTGTCGGAAAAGCTGGCCGCACGGGCTGCTACAGTGAAGTCCTCCAGAGAGCAGGTGGAGTGTTACTAAGAGATGATTTGTCAAAGGGCATCGGTTATTGACAAGAGGCTTGGGGGGGGCAAAAATACAAAAAGAACCCCACATGAGAGACAGGGGCAAAAAGAAGCGACCCACGTAGGGCTCGAACCTACGACCTCACCCTGAACCCTTTTCCACTCAGTTGACTGAAAATAGGAGGGGCACGCTCTACCACTGAGCTAGAAGGCCAGTTTTGATTCTTGAAAGCGCCGGGTATGCTGTATCCAGAGCGTTGTCGTCTGACAAAAAAAATTTGCCCTGGGTAGCTTAGCGGTGAGCTACAGGTGTCAGTTGTTTCGTAGGTTGAGCAACTGTCGTGGGTTCGAATCCTACCTGGGCACCAAGCTCGCGGGTTAAGGGGGCCCAATTCAGAGCAATCTCTGCCGCATTCCAAGACCTTATCAAACCTTCCGGGAGTTTTAGTGGGTAACAGCTTAAGCTGAGTCCCACACTACCAATCACTCTATTGGTGTGCGTAAAGCATTTCTTCCTTTATCTCCTTCTTCTCTTGCTGTAGTCGAGTAGCTCCTGCAATAAGAGTCGTTAGATACAAAAAATTTGCGTCATGTCCTTGAGGAAGCAAACGGTATCCTACGCCCCAGCGCTTGGAAACGCTCACCAGGCCATCAAGAAAGCACCCAATAAGGCCCCTCAACCCTTCACCATCCCTCCTCCGCCCCTCTCCATCCCTCGTCCCGACAGTGTCCGTGTGGACCATCCGGGCAAGATCACCACCCTCACCGTTGCTGTGGCCCTAGAGGCCCAGTTTAAAGCTCTTAAAGGTTTTCCCTTTCAAGCTAATGGCTACACCTTCATCCAGTTCCCAACTGGCAACGATACTACTGCCCTGCAGGCGGCAGGACTCGAGATTGGGCAGGCCACTGCCAAGATCATTTCTCTCCGCAACTCACACCAATCTTTGCTGATTCAGTGCCAGATTAGTTCTATCTTCCCCCATGATGGAGGCCTTGACCTCCTGAAGGAATCCCTGGCGGATTACGGCTCCATTGTCACAGTTGAGTCACCCGTCTACCCCAACACCTCCACTCCCACTGGCACCGTCAACGTCCTCCTTGACCTTGGAACAAAGAGGTCGTACCCTCCCAGTCGCCTAATCCTCAAGAGAGGCTCCTGGGAAGAAACCCTCCGTGTCCAGATCATTGGGAAGTACACATTTTGCTCTTACTGCCGCTCCTCTGAACACCGCTGTTCTGAGTGCCCCTCTGCTCCCCAGTGTCGCTCCTGTGGACAGACTAGCCATGTACAGCAGCACTGCCCCTCTCCTGCGCCCCAAAACCCTCCCACCACCTTCGTCTTTGGACAGGCCAGCGCGCGCGCACGCACAGCCCCCTCCGCCTCACCCAGCCAACCCTCCCCTCCCCCCGACTCCCCGCGCAAGAGGGCCAGGGAAGGGACGTCCCAGTCCCCTCAAGGGCGTTCCCCCTTCACCCTGGGAGACTTCCTGACCCCTGACTCCATCCCTGGAGCCCCCCAACCATCCACAGAGCCCACCTCCACTGGCAGCAGCAGTACCACCCCCTCAGCCGCAGGAAACCCTCCCACTCCCTCCTCTCTCCTCCCTTCTCCTCAAATTGTCACTTTACCGCCTCCCCATCCCTCTCCTTCTCCTCAACCCGGCTCCCCCTCTCTCTCCCCCACATTGACTCCTGGAGGCCACATGGTGCCTGCTCAGCCCTCTTCAGCCACTGAGGCGGGAGCAGAGATGGAGACTGAGCTATGAATAAGTATCCTAACTTCCCCATTGTTGCAGCTAATGTACAGCGCATCAGGGACGCCCGTAAACGCCTCAGCACCCTCTCCCTCTTCTCCCACTCCTCAGCCAACATCTTCCTCCTCTCTGAGACCGGCTGTCCATCTCCAGACGAGGTCACCAGCTGGACCAACGACTGTTCATCACTTGGCCTAACTGCTCTCTTTTCCCCCTTCGACCACACCGCTATCCTCGACAAAACTAACTCCCAAACTGTCTCCCTCTCCTCCCCAGCACAGCCCCTCAACTTCCTCTCCTCCAAACTCAACAATCCACGCCGCTCCAGTGACGCCACCTTCACCATCGGTGAGAAAAACATCACCATCATCTCCCTCTACGTGCCTGTAGAGGCCAGGGAGCGGAAGCCCTTCCTATCAAACCTCTCCCAAGTCCTCCAAGATCTGCCTGACAACACCTCTCTCATCCTAGGAGACGACTGGAACTGCATTGAGGACCCAAGGCTCGACTCTTCCAACCCCAACTGCGTCAACCCTGGCCTCCCTGAGCTCAAATCCCTCCTTTTGCGCCATTCTCTGTCAGATGCTTACAGGCTGAGTCACCCTCCAAGCGCGCCTTTGCCAACACAGCTACCACGCCAGATGGCGCCAACCGGGGGCTGGATTGGTTCTACATTAGTCAAGAACTTATCCCTCTTGTCAGGAGGCACGCCATCTGGTCAGCTAGGCGCTCTACTCACAACCCCATCCTCATGTCCTTGTTCCTCCCTGGCGCCATCCATACAGGGCCAGGGAAATTCAAGCTCAGTGTGGATCTGCTTCAGAAGGAGGGAATAGCTGAGGAGCTTTCTACCACCATCCACTCTCTCTTCTCCTCCTCCCTTCTCCTCTTCCCCGACGATCCCCTAGAGGCTTGGAGACACACTAAAGCCCACCTAGGCCCAAAACTCCACACCCTCTCCATACAGCACTCCATTTTCGATTGCCTCAACCGCCCTCAGCTCCAACAAGCGAAGGAATACCGTGGCCAGGCAATCAGAGCTCGCCTTCCTCCCTCTGAGGCTGGGGAGTCATCTCTCTCCATCCGACTGTGCCAGATCAGAGCAGCTGACCTCATTCCCTCCCTCACAACCCCCACAGGAGAGGTAACCGCAACTGAGGACATGCTAGGCGAGGCCCATCGCTTCTTCTCCGCTCTCTACTCCCCCACAGAGATCAGCGCGCCAGACCTCCAGTCCACCCTCTCCTCCCACTCATCTTCCCTCCCCCCTGTCGAACAGACAACTGGATCCCCAGGGAGAGTGTGAGAACAATCCGTGATATATTACAAAATAGAGAGCGGGAACTACGAACCTGGATCCCCAGGGAGAGTGTGAGAACAATCCGTGGGGAACCAGGAGGAGGGGCGCGCGCGCAGAGGCCAAGTCAGGCAGGGAGACTGTGGGGGAGCTGCTGGACGCAGCGCGCGCGCGCCACGTGGCACAGGCATGGAGCGCAGGAGCGTATGCTCACAACACGCCCCCTCGCTCAAGCCGGTGCTGGACGGACACCAAGGGAGAGGCGAAGCTGCTCAAAAATAGGGCGGGGGAGGGACTTGGTGAAGACGTCGGCAAGCATGTCAGAGGTGGGGATGTACTCGACCTTGAACCACCCCTCTGCAACCATCTCGCGCGCGAGGTCCTCAGCGAGGCGAATGTGCTTTGTGCGATCGTGGAAGCGGGGGTCCTTGGTCATGGCAATGGCGCCCTGGTTGTCGCCATACATCACCATGCGTGCTCCTGGGCGACGCAGCTGAACACCCCACTCCTCAAGCTTCTGCAGCAGGTGGATCCCCTCTTTCCCAGCGTGCCCCAACGCGATGTACTCCGCTTCTGTCGACGAGCACGCAATCCTGGACTGAAGTCGAGAGTTCCAAGAGATGGCGGCGCCGGAGAGGTTGAAGACGTAGCCCATGGTGGAGCGCAAAGTGTTGACATCGGAAGCCCAGTCGGAGTCAGAGTACGCGGCGAAGGCGTGGAGGGGGGACCGCTTGTTGGTGTAGAGGAGGCCAAGGCTGAGGGTGCCAGAGATGTAGCGGAGGACATGCTTGACGGCGTTCCAATGCGAGGAGTCGGGGCAGGCCATGAAGCGAGAGAGGTAGGAGACGGCGAAGGCAAGGTCTGGGCGTGTGCCGAGCGAGGCGTACATGAGGGAGCCAATCGCGGCAGGGTAGATGGCCTGGACCTTGGGGTCAGGCTCCTCAGCTGCACGGAGCTGGAGGCCAGGAGGGAGGGGCGTCAAAATTGGCGTGCAATCCTGCATGTTGAAGCGCTTGAGGACGTCGACGAGGTAGGCGCGCTGACCAAGGTGGATGGAGCCGGAGGAGCGGGTGATCTGAATGCCGAGGATCCACTCTGCAGCGCCCAGGTCCTTGATGCGGTACCAGACGCGGCCAGACTGCTTGAGGCCGTACAGCGCCTTGCGGAGCTTGAGCACCTTGCCAGCGTACTGAGGTCGGTGGCGCATGCCGTCAGGGAGGGAGAAGGGAGTGCCCGCGTCGTAGGCGGCCTCGAGGACGCGGATGGCGCCATGGGGGACAGCCAAGTTGGAGATGAGGTCGAGTGGGTCAGGCAACTCTGAGCAATCAAAGTTGAGGCCGGGGTCAGGCTGGGCAGGTGCTGGCGACGCGGCAGGGGACTCGGTGTCAAAGCGGAGGGCAGGTGGTGGGGAGATGAAGTGGTAGTCGCGAACGCGCGCAGCGCGAGGGGGAGGCGGCGGGTTGGAGGATGGCGTGATGAGGTTCAGCTCGTCCTCGCTATTGGTTGCGTCCTCAATCTCGAGCTCCTCGAAGCGGTTGGGGGAAGGGATCCTGGGAGGGGATGCGGGGGCTGGGGCAGCAGGGCGCGCACGGGTACGAGGGATCGTGAACGCCAACTCGTGCTCGTTACCTGAGGCGCCTGGACGTAGAGTAGGCGGAGCGTCCTCTGATGGGTACTGTCCTCCGCCGGTGTTGGAAAGCTTGAAGGGAAAGATGTAACGATCTTGCTTAAACCCCGTCCTAGAGATGGCAGAGACGAGAGAAGAGAGTGACGTGGCGAGAGGTCGAAGTCGGAAGGCGGGTAGGACCTTGGCTGACCTGGACGGTGGTCTCTACTAACTCAGGGTACAATCGAAAAGGGGAAGAGGAGTCGATTGGCAAGATGCCCTTAGAATTCCAAGATGAAGAAGAGAGCGAGAGAGAGAGAGAGACTACGTTCAGAGTATTTATAGTAGCCAGGGAGATGAGGGATCGTAGTATCCAGAGGAGGTATCCAAGCATCTCTACGATCCTTCGAGGTATCCCTAGGGATCCAAACTCATCGGTCGAGATCCCTTCGGTCGACGGCGAGAGTCAGGGCGAGCGCAAGATCCGAGGGCGTTCCTGGGATCCCTGGCGAGATCCCAGGGATCGCGGCTCGTGCTGCGGGCTGAGGCTCTTCTCTGTCCTGAGCCTTTGTCGTCGTGGTGTAGTGGTCGAGGATGGGGGAGTTCCATTATATGTGGGAGGGTTTTGACCCGGTAGCGGCGAAGTCGCTACAGAGCCCTCCGATAGGGCCCGAGCTCCCGCGAGGTGTCTCAGATGCGGCGCCTTTGT